AATCCTTTCTATTTTTATCTGGAGAATATCAATGAAGGTGATTTTCTAAAAAAAAAAATGCCTTCAATAATTTATTTCAATTTTTTTAAAAGAACTTATTGAAGGTGTTTTTTTTTGCATAATATGCTTTCAATAATTCTCTCAAATTTTAACAAGAGATTTTTAAAGGTGTTTTTGACTAAAATTACATTCAATAATCTTATTTTCAAAATTTTTAGAGAAAATTATTGGAGGTATTTTTTTTATAAAGAACCTTTTAATAATTCTCATAATATTTTTGGATAGGATTATTGAAGGTATTTTTGGCATAAAATGACTTAAATAAACAAGGTATTAAAAAAATGAGTCAGATTATTGAATGCAAATTCTTAAAAAAATGCCTTCAATAAATTTTTTTTTAAAATTTTTTAAGATTATTAAAGCCATCTTTTAGTAAAAAACGGCTTCAATAATCTTATAGTAAAATTTTAAGAGGATTATTGAAGGTATTTTTGCCAAAAAAAAAAAACCTTCACTAATTCCCTCTAAATTTTTAAAAGAATTTATTAAAGGCATTTTTTACATAATACGCCTTCAATAATTCTTTTCATTTTTATTAAAAAAATATTAGTGCAGGTGGTTTTCTACTGAAAATACCTTCAATAATTCACTTCAATTTTTTAAAAAAATTATTGAAGGTATTTTTTTACATCATATACCTTTAATAATTTTTGTACAGAATTATTGAAGGTGTTTTTTTAGAAAAAATACCTTCAACAATTTTTTTAAAATTTTTTTGAAATTATTAAAGACGTCTTTTAGTAAAAATACCTTTAATAAGCTCGTACTCAAATTTTAAGAGGATTATTGAAGGTATTTTTTAATAAAAATACCTTTACTTATAATTTTTATATTCATTTTCCTATCTTGAACATTGAAATTACAAACTGCTAGTACAGAGAAAGATTAAAAGCTGCATTAATCAACTAAATCAAACCCTATAAACACTTTTAGATTAACTTTTGATTTTTTTATCTCTATTGTAGCCACCAACCTTCAACAAACTCAACGGTGTGCACTTTTTTGTTTATCAATATATCTTTTTTTTATTTATTGTATTATTTATATTATTCAATAGAGGTATTTTTTTCGATTTCTTACTATTTACATATGCATATATATTTTTATTTATTTCACTGTAACCTTAGTCGTCCAAGCATCATTCATTGTATGTATGGTGTTTCTGTGTAGTTTTGTTTAAATATTGTGGTTTACTAAATGATATTGTATGATATTATTTTGTTGAATAGTATTGTATGATATTGATTTACTGAATGGTGTTTCTAAATGATTTTCTGAAAAGTATTTCTAAATGATTTGTTAAATGATATTTTTGAATACATTGCTGATTGGTTTGTTGAATGGTCTTCTGTACGTAATATGATATTTGTTATATTTTATTACGTATAGTATTATATTTAGACTGTCATTTTAGTGTATTTCACATAATTATAATCAAAATCACAGGTATTATAGACTTCGAACAACATAATTCTCCTTCTATTAAACATGCATAAGACATACCTGTAGGCTAAAAAAGAAAAAAAATGGACAAAATAAGCAAATTCAAGTGTGACATAAAAATTCATGTAGACTTCAATCAAAGTGGGCAGCTTGTATCTAATTGAGCTACTAAGTTGGCTACTCATATTGGTACCATCGTCTATAGTAACATTTTAGTTATGTACACCAATTGGCGATGAATTCCTAATTATCTAAATGATGGTATATGACAGTTGATTGTGGTATGTTTATTTAACTATTTCATAAAATTTGTTAAATGATCATTTAATTGAATTCAATTGTTCATACTAATTGTGTTAAATTATTTAAGAATAGTTCGACATCCTAATTGACTATAAAATGATTGTGTTGCAATTTGTTAGAAAAGTATTCTGAGACTTTAAAAGCAAATTGACAATCCAATATATTTTACCTCTCATTATCAAGGTGATATATTGGTTTTTCACCTACGTCATATACAGATATAATAAATGTTAAAGATTGAAAAAATTTTGTTCGAGATCAACTATTAGAAGATTTCTTAGTATACAAACCCATTACCAAAAAAATTTGTTTATAAGATTTTATGCAATATATTTGATATCTTTATATGTGATTGATGTAATTTCTTTCTTTTGTAGAAAATCAAAGAAAACCAAAGGAACATTCGAGCCAAATAAATATATTACCATCGGACAGCAAGAAAAAAGATATGCAAATGTGAAGTATGAGCTTGTAAGTATTCGCACACTTATTTTATACTCATAAATGAATATTTATGAACATTTATTTCATAGATCTGATTCTTATATTATAGTAATTTATTAGGAATCAGCAAGCTCTGACACTAAAGTTTTCAAATAAGATTCTGGAAACAAGAACATCTACAGAATGATGGATCCTTTGCAGATGAAGCAATTGAAGAATTAGCTAAAAAGATTGTATGTATAATTGCTTGTTTAATATCATGTATGATTGGCATTGTGGTTGTATACATGACTCTATACTAGCTTCTATAAATTTATTGTTACAGCCCATCTTATTATTATCTTTTAGGATGATTATGCTGTTAAAATTAAATCCAATAAACTAGTAACTCAATATAATGATGTTTTTAACAACATGAACTAAAGAAAGGCCTGGTCGAGTTCGTGGGGTTGGCAAATTTATGTTGCCATCAAAGTTTTTTAATAATTAACCCAAAATCCCTCAAATGACAAATACACAATATGAAACACTCATTGAGCAACAACAACAAGAGTAATGCCTCATTGAGTAATAGCAAAGACTCGCTATTTTGGATACGTGAAGGCGTTTTTCCCCAGAAAATGTTTAGAATAATCCCTTCAAAAACTCAAAAAAAGCTAAATGGAGGAATTGAACTTGCAACTTTATAGTTAACAACCATATGATCTTTAAATTTTAATAGGATATTTATTGACCAAAAATGCCTTCAATAATTCTGTATAATTTTTTAGTGAAATTATTAAAAGTGTTTCTTGCAGAAAACGCCTTCAATAATCGCCTACATTTTTTACGAGGAGATTATTCAAGGCGTTGTCTGTTAAAAACGCCTTCAGTAATCCATTATCTATTGTTTAATGAGATTATTTAAGGTATTTTTTATTAAAAATACCTTTAATAATCACTTTATTTTTTAGAGAATATTATTCAAGATATTTTAGTTGATAAACGTCGTTGGGTGTCGTTTATAAGTAAAAACGTCATTATTTAAATATTTAGTAGTGTTTTGATAATAAAGGCCTTAAGTTTTATAAAAATATGATAGCTAACGACTTTTGTAAGTAAAATACAGCTATAAAATTATCACTAATCTTTCATTTTATTTGTGCAAATGACAATAATTCTTTGATCAAGAAAGAGAGACTACATATTAAATATTATAGTTGCATACAAACTTCTTGTTCACGGGTTCAGATTTGATTGCCTTTGAAATTTTTTACTTGAGGCCTTGCTTGTTCCGTCAAGTCCGAATAGACTTGATTATTGTTAAAAAAATATTAAAATATAAAAAAATCGTTTTATGTTAATATTTTATACATTTTCAAAATTAAATTTAAATAAAAACATTTTTATTTCTTAAATAATGATTCAAATCAGACTGATTCATATTTCAAAACTCATTTTTAAGACTCGGTTCATTGAATTATCTAGCCGAAAAGCAATAACAATATGAAAAAAATTTTATTCACTTTATAAGTTCTGAAGTGACTTTTCTGAAACTGCTTTTTTCTCAAAACATTCATGTTAGACTCATTCTACTTTGATTTTATTGCTGGAATTGGATTTTTCATTTTCATGTGAAGTACTTGTTTTATTTTCCCCTTTTTTGCATTTTCTATTCACAATAATTTATGTATTTATTCCATTTTTTTTTTATTTTTACGTAGAAAGAGTTATACTTATAACACAACTATTAAGTCCAACTAATTATATATAAAGACCAATTAATTATAAAAAAAAATCTACGTACAAGATGATGAAATTAGAAAATAGCCAAAATAAACAACATTGAAATTTGTCTATATTAGATAATTAATAAAACAAAACAAAGTAAAATAAATTGTCGGCCTTACTTCTATTTTGGGCTACCAAACCTTCATGACTTAGTCGAATTACATATATGACTGCAATTGTCAATTACATATTGAAATTCATATACATGCAAAACAAGACTCAACAAAACGATTTAGCTCAAAAAAAAATAAAATTAAATTGACATTAACTTAGCTCATTTGATTATTTCATGACCAACTTATTATTTATGACAAAATTGGTATCAACAGCTAATTATCGCATTTATTCCAAAAATATTACAACAAATAATATTTTAACCAAATCGTTGTCAATGTAAAATTATTGTTTTATCAATAACAAAGATTTAATCACCAAAAATAAACCAACTTGAATTTCGGAATGATTATTCAAGACACATTAATACACATGAACATACGAATGTTTAAAATTGACAACTTTTATATGGTTGTAACATTTTCCATATGCATGTTTGAGTATGAATCACCAAAATTAGCCTAACAATAATAAAAGCAAAAACTAAAAATAAACTACACCAATATAAACACCAAACAAATAGTTTGAACGTCCAAATGATTTTGTTGGAATAAGTTAACTTTTTTTATTAAAACCCTTTTTTTTTTTCTGGTTTATTGATGTTAAGGAAAATCTTAACAAACCATCGGCAAGCTAAAATGCTAGCGAATATATAATTCATTAGAATGAAAAAAATAACTTTGATTTTGGGTTTATAGTTGCAAACAACCCAAACAATAGTTATAACAAAAACACCAACAGAAGAAAGCCCCACCTTAATTATAAATATCTCTTACAATTTATCGCAAAAAAAAAAAAAAAAAACCAAAACTGTAATTTTAACCCAACAACAAGTGTTGTTTTTCTTTATTCAATTTCCCAGGAAAATGTATTTTAGTTGCTCCATTTGTGTTTTCATCATTCCCTCTCTATTTCAATCCTTCACTTTTAGTTCTGGAGATGTACTTGTCACACCTCCACCATTTACTATTAATCAAACAGCTCTCTTGCAATATTTGTCATTGGGGAATATCACCATTGATTTACCAGCTCTTTATGTGTTTGGAGACTCTTTTGTTGATCCTGGAAACAATAATTTTTTGAATACATCTATCAAGTCAAACTATACTCCATATGGAATCGATTTTGAAGGAATGCCTAGTGGTCGTACCACTAATGGAAGAACCGTAGTCGATTTCATTGGTATGGAAAAAAAGAATAAATTATTTACATATATTTTCATATTAACTTTGATCAATTAACCTTTTTTATCCTATTACTTTCGCTTGTTTCTTTTGACATTTTGCATTGCATTTTGGTTCGATTTCCTTTCAGCATTTGTCTAATTTTTGTCATGGAAGGTTAATGTTTTGAATCATTGTTGCATACAATATATAACATTAATTCCAATTTTAGGTATATAATTGATTTCTTTTAAAAACTATATAAGATAACCCTTAAAAAGTGATATCCAGTTCGTTTAAAGTTAAAAGATTAGCACCTGTAATCCAATCTTTTATTATTAGATTGTGACTTCAATGCAATAAAATTTTTTATTGTTTTAGCTTTCATACTTGTTAATGAGTTCCACCTCCACCAATGCAGCTCAAGTAGTCGGCTTGCCGTTCCCTCCTCCAGCACTGGATGTATCGGAGGCCAAGAAGAACAGTCGGACCGGCGTTAATTATGGGTCTGCTTCCGGTGGCATTCTCCCTAGTCCACCATTGGTTGAAAATCTATTTGTAAGATAAATTTTTGCCTAAAAATTTGTTTCTATAGATATAATTGGTGTACCCAACGTTGTTCATGGCATCTCAACTGATCTGATGTAATATATTAACAGTGAATTTTCCTGAAAGCCCTACTAAATGAAAATTCATTGAACTAGAAAATCAGCTATATGCAAAATGTTAAGCTCTTTTTTCAAATTGAATAACATTTGTAATTTTCTAATGTTAGGGGCATGTTTTAAGCATGGACGAACAAATAGCTTTTTTCGAGAACACAACAAAAGACCTGAAGTGTCAATTCAACAATGCAGAAAGCTTTGCTCAACACTTGTCAAAATCACTGTTTTTTTTCCACGTTGGGGGCAATGACCTAGGCTTATATTGGGACCTCGAAAGACATTCCAACTATTCTGCCCAGAAATATTCTCAACTTCTCATCGATGAGTTATCCATGCAATTGCAGGTGAATCCCTATAATTGCATGTCATTATTGTAACAGTTTCAGGCCTTTCTGTTTTTTATACTGTCATCACCTCGTTTCATCTGTTAATAAAATATTTCTATCCTTGCGTTTTAAAAAAATTGCATGTCATTCATATTAGTTCCATTTCCTTTATGCTTATTTTGTGGTTTAGGTTCAATGTTGACATGTATTTTTCAATGATTTTCTTATGATATTTCATAGGTAATATATGTTCTTTATATATATTTTTTTGTACGTATGATCTTAAACTACACAATAAGACATAATTTTGTCAAACTCCTAATAAACTCTTTCCGTTCTCGATTAATTCAAATTCAAGATCATTTTAACAACTAAAAGTTGTTTTTTTTTTTTCTTTTCTTGACATAGAAATTGTATGAACTTGGAGTACGCAAGTTTTTTGTGAATAATGTGTCCCCAATGGGGTGTCAACCATATAGTATAGTGGTGGAAAAGCCTAAAACGACGCAGTGTGTCGAGGAAATGAACGCGAGAATAGTGAACTTCAACAAGCAAATTCCTCCTTTGTTATCACATCTGCAATCAACTCTTCCTGGATCTAAGTTTGTTTTGGGAGATCTTTATAAGATTTATGAAGATGTGTTTGCATCACCTGCTTCCTATGGTAAGTGTAATTCATTTCTAAATCAATATTTTGCTCAAGGTAGAAATAAAAAATTATTTAACTTAATTATAGCAAGTTTGTATTTGATAATTGTTAGTGAATAAATTAAATATAGAAATTCTCAATGATTTTTATGAAGGGCTTGCAATATGAGTGGTTGGATTGTAATTTTCGACCTCAAAAACTCGACCTAAATAGTATTGTTCAAAATACATTAACGATTCATCAAATATATATGAATCCTTTTAATGTTTACATTTACAATATTTGTGTGTTCAATATTAATATTCGGATATAAATTAAATTGTTTATTTCATGAATTCAGGATTTACAAATGTAAAGAAGTCTTGTTGCATTGATCCATTCAGAAATCAAACTAGACCATGTGCTCCAAATGTAGAACCATGCAAGGAAAGAAATCAACACGTATTCTTTGATCCATATCATCCCAGCGAAAATATGCATTTTGTAATTGCAAGGCGATTTTTGAAGGATTCGTCGGTTTCTTCTCCGATCAATTTGCTTCAGCTAATCCAATCCTAGTTTAAAGTCAATAGTACTCCACCATAATGGTTATGATCGACGTGATTAGAGTCATAGGCACAGAAAGAGGTGACTTTCAACACCTGCACATATTTTTTTAAAAAGATAAGTGATTTGAATTCTTTATTTTTATTTTTAATAAACTACTAATTTTTACCTTAATTTTTTGTGGAAGTTAATTTGTTATTATTGTTTCCAAAATATTGTTTATGTTGTAACAGTCTCTTTTATATGATCCATATAGTATCAGTTCAAGTGTTGTGCTTCTCCTTCGATAAAATCAGTGCCAAATATTCAAATATAAAAAAAAAATGATGTTAATTAAGGCGAATAATTTTGTGTCGAGATGAACCCATTATTTCAATTAGTTATTACATGTTTTATATTATTTAATTAAGTTATGGTACAAGAAAAAAAAATTAAAAGGCTTGGTGCAGACATACAAAAACTATTATTAATTCAATATATTAAAATTTTCTTATGATATGAAAGCATAAGAAGGACAAAAAAACGAGGAGGAATATTTTGAATAATTCTTCTCTAAGATGAACTAGGACTAGACTTCGTCAACTGCCCCCAAATTTGGATAAATATAATATATATATATATATATAGATATATAATTTAGGTTTTATTGGTCACATTATTCAACAACCAGCAAATTTAATTTTAAATTTTTTTGTTTTCACCTAATTTTCATTTTCAGTCAACTACTATTTTTTATTGAGATATACAAACACAAATACAAATTATAATCATAATCATAATCTAGCAAAATTAAACCAATTAGTCAGCATATAGTTAAAAGGTATAAATCAAATATAAAAAGAAATGAGATTCACATATAATAAAATTTAAATATACAAAAATTTGACAAGGTTTTTATTATGAGCTCATATTTTATATGTATAAAATTTTTAAATTCTTTCTAAAATTTTAAAAATTACCATGTGTACTTTAATCGGTTTGTTATATATTAAGATGTGATTTTTAAACTTCACAAACAAATTTAAAAATCTGTCATATATGAATTAGATTTGATTTTTTGTTGGCTTCTTTAGCAATTATTTTTTTAATTGAGAAAAAAAATTTGAAATAAATAGATTGTTCGGTTAAATTAAGATGTGTCATATTTGATAATCTAAACCAAATAAATACAGATCATACATTCGAAATAATTTTAACAAATAATTATCAATAAGACTTAAATTTAAAATTTTTTTATTTAAAAAAATTAATTTTAATCAATTAAATTTATTACTTAATAATTTATTATCAATTATTTAATTATTAATTTTAAGAAATTATTTTATTTCTCTTCTATTCAGCTTGTTTTTCAACCCTAATCCACGCATATTAATGTAGAAAACTACGAAGTTTAGTTTAGAAGAGACAACGGTCTCTATAAATTAATGGTGAGAAAGGAACGTACTCAAGTTGTAGGAGTATATACGACAAATTTTGAACCCGTCAGCCATCGGTTTCCCCCTTGAGCAAGGTATAATTTTTGTGGTTGAAATTGATTAGGAAGCAGCTTGATTTATTTATAAAAATAGGAAAAATAGCTACCTTGGTATATTTTAAAATATAAAAATATTATTTTTATTTTTATTCAATATTATATATCTATGTTTATTCATATATAATTATATTATTTATAATATTAACGTGAGTTTTCAGTAAAACTTAGACAAATACATTAAAATCATTTAGAAAGTAATATAAAAAATTTGGAAGACTTGGGTTAGGTGTTGTTATTTTCTCTTAATGAAGAAGGAAAGTGTCAAACTCAAGTTCCTTATCCTACAATGTTGCTATTCCTTAATGGGTAATGAATTATTTTTATTTTGGAAAAAGTGAAATTTACCTTTTTAAATAAAGGATATATGCATTAATTATTAAATTAAATATTAAAATATAAATAAATAATTAGTTTAGATATATAATAAAGATATTTATGAGCCAAACTTAATTGACACTTCAAATTGCTCGCTCAATGTCTGGCTAGGTCATCAAAGCTTATTTAGATAAATTTATTTTAATTTATTATTAAAATATTTAAAAATTATTTTGTATTAATATTTTATATATTTATATATAAATTAAAATTAAATAAAATTAATACCAATACATATTTGACAGTGAAATCAACCAAATTTCACAAAATTATGTATCAAAATAAAGTTCATATAGGTATTGATGTACAATGTGATAAATTCATGTAAAGTAAATGACAAATTGGTAACATTTTCTTTTGAAATTTGCTAGAATAAAATTAAAACAATTCAATCATCAGTCGATTACTGAATTTTAAAGACTATTAAAAGAATTATATACTAAATAAAAGTATTTCTTTTTCCAAAAAATTAATAACAAAGAGGATTTCCTTTTCCAAAAAATTAATAGAAATAAAATATTGGATACTTCGAGTTTAAGAATATATTAAATGCGGCAATAACAATAAAGAAGGACGGCTTTGACGGGTTTACTGTTGAGAAAGTAAGACAAAAAATAATAAGATTCCGTTAATAAGAAATAATGTTTAATTTTAAAAACTATTTTGGGAATAAATTTTTAAATATAATAAATTAATATACATTAACGTATTTTAAAAAAATAAACTCAAACAAAACTTAAAATATTCTAAAAGGTTGAGAAAATTTATATTGTTATTGAAGTTTGATTAATTAGAGAAAATTTATAAAAATTAAAAATTAAAAATTAATATAATTAATTTTTTTTGGTCTACTCATTATTTGCTATTATTTTTCATAAATTTCTTTTAATCTTTCTAGTATTAATATAAAATTACTTTTTTTGCTAATTTAATCATTTAGTGTTATTTCATGTTTTTGGCATAAAAATTCTTGAAGTAGATAAGTTAAAATATTTTGAATTTTATAAAAAATTATGTATTCAAGATTAAATTGAATTATAAATAACATTATGACTTTAAAACTATTCATTTAACAAATTAAATAACTGAGTTAATTCTAATTAAATACTTTTAATATTATTAGTTCAGATAATATGTATATTTAATTTTGAAAAAAAAAACATATATGTTTGATCAGATTTTTTAAAGTTATTGGTTTCAACGGCTTAAATGCTAATGTTTTAAGTAGTTAAAGATTAGAGAGTTAATTGTAGTTTAAAAATTAAAAACTAAAAATTTTAAAAAATACAAATTGGAACATTGTAAAAGCCGGATTTATCACTAAGCAGACAATTAAACATAGTTTTACCGGCTGAACAGCTTCTTTTTTTATTGGCCTACCATCACATTCGGAAATTCTCTTTAATATTCTTCCATTTTTAATTTTAAAGCCTCCAACAAAGACACTCTCTTTTTATCTTTTCTCTACAGTTTGTGCTTTTCTCTGTGCGCTTCTTTTTGGTTGAAGTGATTCATGACTTTTGTCAGCTCTGGAGTCTTTACTAATCAAAGGATCATCAAAATATCAAAATCCATAGGAAGGAATTATCATGTTTTGGCTGTTCAGTTACTGATCATCTTTTGATTAGGTATGGATTCATGGGCAGTAAAATCTGTTCTTTTTCTCTTTTTCTGGTTGATTTTGGCTCTTTGATTTCTTTTGATTTTCTTTTTTGTTATCATTGATTTTCTTGGCCTATCTATAATCATTGATTAGCTTTTGGGTTTTTTTTTTTTTTCTTTAAGTTAGGAAATTTGATAGAAACCATTTAATATCAGAAAGAGTTCTTCTGATTTATGAACTTTGGTTCAGAAGAATTGGTCTGTTAAAGAAACTATGAGGAATGATTTGGCAGTGTCATATATGAAAACCAAAGCTTGTTTAGGCAAAAAGAGGCTTTGAATTAAATGTTTATTGTTTGATGTTCTTTATGTCTAGGCAGGTTTGTAGTGGCTGATAGTTGAAAACGGTTTGACTGATTGTGTCAAGAAATTTATATAAAAAGAAGGGTTGAATTAAATCTTTTAACAACGGAAAACAGAGTCCGCTTGCCTTTCAAATTTGTCAAAACTAATAAAAATTTGGTTTTTGGAGGTAAAAATGGGAACTTGCTTAATTATATGCTTTGTTGCTGAAAATTTAACGGTTCCCTGATTCCCCTTCTTCTGAGAACTGGTGAAACTTCCAATCAAACAACAAATTTTCACATTGGATTTTTACTTTACGTTGTCTGATTATGGTCCAAGTATGTGTTTTTGTAAGGTTCAATGGCATTATTTTTGTACAGCATTTTTCTTTGTTCTTATTTGCTGTAAGCTTCCCTTCTGCCTGCCTTCAAGATATGCTATCATTAGGCTTTGTAATTTGGAATGGCATTTTTTCAGTTCCCCAAAAAACATTTTGTTTTTTGATTTCTTTAAAATGGATATAATAATTTATTCATCTTATGACAGTGAGCCTGTAGAATTTGTGTGCTGCAAGATGTTCACATGGCCTGAATACCTCAAGAGACCAAAGCATGGCTCATAAAGGTGATCTAGTTGCCATTGGCATCTCTGTTGGCTTGGCCCTTGGTATCTTGATAGCTGCACTGGTATTTTTTGGAATAAGGTGGTATAAAAGGCGTGTAAACCTCAGACGATGTTCCAATGAGCGTAGTGTTACAGTTCTTCCTATAAGAACAAATGGCTTTGGTACAAGCACTGACTTCAGTGCATCTCTTTCAAATTCTATAGCTGTTCAGATAACAGAATATCATCAGAAACGTTCTTCAAATTCTTGGTGGAGTTTTCATAGTAAAAATCGCTTTGTTTCTACTTCAGGCTTGCCGAAGTATTCCTATAAGTAAGTTCATTTCTAAATTGAGTGCAAGCATGATTCTTAATTGGAGGAATGTCAAAGCCAAATCATGTTTAGAGGCTTACCAAATTCACATTTCCTCCAATGAAAGAAATTAATCTATGAATTTTAGTGTAGCTCTGTTTCTAAATTGTATCTTTCCTACTTTAGTGGTGAAGATAACTTGTGCTAATTTATAACTTCGCTCGACACCTTTATATAGGAGTTATCTAATCTTTGGAGTGGACTTAACTGTTTATGTTAATACAAACCCAATAGCTCTATTGCTAATTGAGCTAAATGACTAATGTTCAATGTATAAAATGAATATTTAACTGAGTTATTCTGATATCTGTTTATCTTATTCATCATGCTTTCCAGGGAAGTCCAGAAAGCTACACAAAATTTTACAACTATTTTAGGAGAAGGATCATTTGGTCCAGTCTATAAAGCTACAATGCCTACTGGTGGATTAGTAGCTGTAAAGGTGCTAGCTTCCAATTCTCATCAGGGAGAGAAAGAGTTCCACACAGAGGTAAGCTGCAATAACCATGTAAGAAAGAGGTCCTTTCACAATTTTGGGACTAGGTACCTTCAAACAAGGTTTTTTTTTTTTTTTTTTTTTAATCTTAACTGTACTTGCTTTGATTGATCTGACTATATGAGTGACTAGTCTATATCAATTGAAAAACAAACGTAACTTTTGATTTTTTCTTGTTTGAATTTGAAGTATTTTGAGCAAAGATCCATTAATGTATGAATGAATATCTTTGAGTAGCCCATGCAAGTTGGAGAAATGGAGGATTCACAACATAATAGCTGCAATCTATATTCTGATATCTCATTTATCTTTTATTATTCACCAATAATTCTATCTAGATCGTTCCTGAGGTTGCAATTCCATTCTTCCAAGGGGTCAAATGAAATTTCTTTTGGGAATATTTTATATTATTTTACTTTTGGTAACCAATATATCATATTATCATTTTTTCAGGTTTGTCTACTAGGGAGGCTGCATCATCGAAATCTTGTGAACTTGGTAGGATATTGCGTGGATAAAGGGAAGCACATGTTAGTTTATGAGTTCATGAGCAACGGAAGCTTAGCAAACATTCTATATGGTAAGCTCAGAAACCACTTTTTATTTGCATCTCTCATCTGATGTTCTTCATTGTAAATATGTGCTAGAACATACCAATTTATGTTAAAAAAACATTTCTGATTGACATTTTATAACCAATTTGATGTTTGTGAACAAAAAAAAAAAAAGTTAATTTATTTGTTGTTATTTTTTGTTGGAAACTTCATTTTATGCTTTCAAAAGCTTACTGTTACTTCCAAGTGGCTAGTAATCTAGGATCACTGGCACTGGTCTGACTTGCAGTCACTGTCTTTTTCTGTTTTAGCCGGTGACATAGACCAAAGTCTCTAATCATGTTCTCAAGCATTTCTCTAAATTCAGGAAAATGGGAGCATGGAATTATTTGATGTTACATAAACCTATATCACCTATATGCCAATGTTAGCATGTTATTAGTTCATAGGTATTGAATATTCTGCAAGAAAGGCTTGCTGGAGGCCTCTGAGTAGTGCCAATCACATGCCAAATTATGTAAATTGAAGAACAACTAGCATCTTTCATCCATGTGTTTATCAATAATAAGGCCACTTATCTGGAATGGTTAAAGTACTACTGTACATTTGTTGCAGTAAGTTAGATGCTCATAAACATTTTCTGCAACCATGCCTTTTGAATTCATCCAGATTTTAGTGTTATTTGGACCCCAAATGGCACTGTTTTACTATTGTTGTGATTGATTTGTTGATGATAATCAACCTGGTCTTAATGTACTCAGGTGAAGGGGAGCAGGGTTTGAGTTGGCAAGAAAGACTTGAAATTGCTCTTGATATTTCACATGGCATAGAATATCTTCATGAAGGGGTATGATGGAATGATAAAAAACTGATGTTCTCCATAGTTACAAAACAAACTAGGCATTGACTTAACATCGCTGTTCTTGAAACAGGCAGTCCCTCCTGTAATACACCGTGATTTAAAGTCTGCTAATATACTATTGGACCAGTCAATGAGAGCCAAGGTGAGCAACTTACAATGGCTCATCTTTTTCAAATCCTTTCTCCTTTTAATTTAACAAAACAATCAAGATGACAATAATGGACTAAACAGCATGGATTTACTACTGCTCCTTTTGATAGGTTGCTGATTTTGGGCTGTCTAAGGAAGAGGTTTTTGATGGCCGAAAGTGTGGCATTAAAGGTACATATGGCTACATAGACCCAGTGTACATATCCACAAACAAGTTCACAATGAAGAGTGACATATACAGTTTCGGTGTCATTATCTTTGAACTAATTACAGCCATCCACCCTCACCAAAACCTAATGGAATATGTTAATCTTGTGAGTTTCTTCCCGCTATGTGGTAAAGTCCTGCTTGTTAGTAATGTATTGATCTTTCTGACTTATCTTTCTGACATAAGCTCCCTTTTTAAGGCTGCTATGAGTCCTGATGGTGTCGACGAAATACTTGATAAGCAACTGGTTGGAGAGTGCAACATTGAGGAAGTGAGGGAGCTAGCCAAAATTGCCCATAAATGCTTGCACAAATTACCAAGAAAGCGTCCCTCAATTGGTGAAGTAACACAGGCCATACTGAAGATAAAGCAGAGGCGCCTCGCTAAAGAAGACACAATGTCCATGGCTGAAGGAGATTTTTCAAGAATTATGAGCCGGATACAAGATCAGCATATAGAGCTGACCAAGTTGGCCAGCTTGAAGGAGATTAATTGAACAACCACCACTTCCCTTTTACCTGTTTTGTCTTCTTTTTTCCTTTTTTTTCCCCACAATGAAGCCTCTGGCAAGTGATACTGGTGATAGCATACAATTGAGCAAAAAAAGTACAGAGAAATGCATACAAAATGAGTGCTTTAAGATTACTAACCCCTCATGTTTTAGTATACTGGTTATGAAAAAATATTTCTCCTCATTTTTTTATTGGCTTATTTGAACTCGACTAGGGATACACGTACACACACACACATATATATATATATATATATATACACACACACACACGTGCATGCATTTATCATTGAATCAAATGCCTAAGTTTTCCATTTTGAGAGTAAAATTCGTAGATCTCAGTTAGGGAAGGCAAAAAAATCCGTACCCGACGGGTTCTTGTCCGACCCGATTTTTTAGGGTCGGTTTTTTTTTTTTTTTTAAATCGGGGGTCGGGTCGGGTAGCATGAAGACAAAAGCGAGGTCGGGTTTTAGGCAAATTCGATCCTATTTGATCTGATATATATATAAAAATAATTTTTTTAATTAATTTTTTAATTATATATATATATTTATATAATGATATTTTTAAATATTTATATTTAAAAAATAATATTTTATTAATTTTGGGTAAGATCGGATCGAGTACGGTTTATATAGTGTCGGGTTTGGGTTCGGGTATGAAAAAACAAAAAAAATTTTGGATAGGGTCGAGTTCAAGGCGAGCAAAATCCGTCCCAAACTCGATCCGATGTCAACTCTAATCTCATTTGCTGTCCGTATTTACTATTTAAGAGAGGAAAAGGAAGCATTGGTGGGAAGGTGGTGAGTAAATTCTGCGAGTGTCCTCTTGTGCCTCAGTCCAAAATTAAAGAGCTGGATCCTTGAATTTTTGGCATGACCAATAATTACATAAACAATTGCATGAATTAAAAGCCAACGTAGATGTCGTATGACCCATCCTTATGTTATTTCCTAATCAATCGATCAACTTTATCATTTACAAAAAAGAGATAAGAATGTCTGACTAAAATGAACTGATCTAGTCGTTGATAAAGACTACCACTAATCGTTATCTGGTAAAGCAAGAATATACATATACCAAACCAGAAGATTAAGGATCCGATCATGACATTAAAGATTAATTTTGATGAAATTAAAAATAATAAAAACGGTAAATTTTATAATTTAAATATTATATTAAATATTTTTAATATTTAAATATTATATTAATATTTTATTATAATTTAAAACTCATTGATAACATTAACTCTATTAATTATTTAGCCTTAGCATATATATATATATATATATTTAAAATCTACTCATCCCATGATTTTAAAAACATACTCTTCCATGTCAACTTGTAATGCTACACACAAATATCGAATCCTGAAAAATAAAAAAAAAAACAAAAAAAGAAGAACTCCTGTGTTTACAACGTGGACTAATTTTAATGGGTGATCTTTGGCATGTATAGTAATGTATGATTAAAATTAACAAGTAATTAATTCAATCGATTAGATTTATTTTTTTTATAAAAAATTTTTTTGAATTCGAATTTTATCGGTAGTTATTTATTAAGATTATTTCAAATGTACAATTTATAATTACATCATTTATTTTAAATTATCAGATACGTTATATTTTATCTTGATTTAATAGATTGAATAACTTATTTATTTCAAATTTTTTTTTACAAAAAAAATGCATGACTTAAAAAAATGGGGTCAAATGTCAACAGTTGTTACGTTACACATTTTCTTAGTAAAATCAGCGTAGTTTGAAATTACTTTTTCCCGAAAAACTTCAATCATGGAATAATTTTTTAAAAAACTTTATGGCCTAAAATATAAATATAGTAAGTATTAACATTATTTTTATGGCCAAGTAAGTATAACATATAGAAATAAATAACGTTTTGCTAGGGTTGTTGGGATTCACATGCTTTTGGTCTCTTTTCTATTATTAGAAAAACGCCAATTGCAGGAATCTCTCTTCGAAACGTCAAAGGGAGTGGTTGATTGATGAAATCGATGCCTCACACAAACTACCTTAAAGGCGAAAAAGAAAAAAAAAAAGTTCATTTGTTTTATGAAAATTTGGAAATAACTATGTCAATGGGCCTGGATATAGGAAGTTGGCTGCATCGGAGTGGAAAAAGTTGCTTGCGTTCATTGTTGTTGCCAATAATGCAGCTCTGAGATAGAAAATTTGTCCTAAATCTTTAAGTTGGGATAAAAATACTAGAAATTCCATTATTTACTATATAATTAGAAATATAATTTAATTACTTTTAGAGTTTAAATTTAAAATTATTTTTTTATATTTGAAATTGATAAAATTTGAATTTTCATAACTGAAATTAAAATTTAATATTTTATATTTAAAATTATTTACATTAAGATAAATGATCATAATTTAAACATTGAAATCTTAATTTTAATTATCAAAATTCAATCTCTAATAATCTTTAAGTACCAAAAAAATTATTTTCATTTTATTTTTCCTTCTATTTGGTATTTCAATATGCTTTTGTTTCTAATTACTATTGGTGAAAATTTTAACTTCAATTTGTCATCCTTTAATTATTCAAAAAAATTTGTCATCTTGCAACTTCAATCAGAGACTGTTCTTCCTATCGAAAGAAGCCTGTTTGATGACAAGCCCATTGGCTTATCCATTTGCAACAAAGGACAACAATATGTCACTTGAAGCAAAGCAAGTAACTTTCCAAGCGTATCGCTAATCAAAATTTGTACTTTTTCCCTTCATCTACCTTCAGAATTAAAATCCCTAATCTAAATGCACTTATCACTCACCTAAAACTCAAAACATGGTAACATAGTTCACTTGTTTTTGACCAAAGCCCCTTCCCTCCCTTCTGCCCATGACCACTTTCTTTCACTAGTCTCTTTTCTCTACTATTTCAAAAGCTGCATTCACTGCCAAGAAAGGCCAACCCACCCCCTTCCATTGGCAAAAGAACCAGCCAAGGATTTCTCCAGTTGCTTCAGATTCTTTTCTCTTGGCATTGGCAGTGGCAGATCCCGCAAGTGAACCAATAAAACGACACATACCCACCCCCGCCCCTCCCCTCTCCTCCCCCTCCTATAGCCACAAACCCCCCCAGTGGGACACTACCCATTAATGTGAATTTCCACTATAAGACCAACTTCACGTGACATTATTCACACCGATGTAACCTACTAACTATCTTGCACCTTTTCAGCTAGGAAAGATGTGAACCAAATCAAAGAAAATTTGTTGAGTTGTTGCTCTTTATAGGTGGTTCTTTTTACTTATAAAATCAAATATGGATAAATTGTTCTATCTCAAATATCAAGATTAAATGTATCTGAAGAAAAACTCTAACCTTAGATTGTTTAAGATTCATGTTAGAGGTTTTTAATTTATTGGAATAAGATTAATAGAAGGTTATTTGTCATTTTTATATGACAATCACAAATATTTTCTTGTTCAAATTTATTTTTTTAATTTTTAATTTAATAGAAGAATAATATGTATATATTTTGTGATTCAATGACAGTTCAATGCATAAATTATAAACCCTTACTTGCCAAGACTCCATAATATTTGAGTATTACCCTTTTACTTGAGATAATTGAGGAAGGACAAAGAAAATTATTGGAGCTATTACCGAAATCTCTGCATGTCACAGCATGTCTGATCTCTGACAATTACACTCAACGGTCACTGTTTAGTTTTTTTTTGCTAAAAAAAAAGTCTCACACGTGTCATCACACGCTCTTTATGCTTCTCTCTCTTGCTCTGTCTCTGGACTTTCTTTTACTGACTCCTCCTGTCCTTGTCCTTCTGTTGTTTCCTCTTCTTGAAGGTTTCTTTCGAGAGAGAGAGAAGAGAAAACTTTGAGTTTTAAAAAGAAAGAGAGAGAAATGAAAGAAGGGAAAGCGTTTTTTAAGTCCAGGATGAAATGGGTTGGTTTAGTTGGTTTGGTTTTATCAGCTTTTTCACTCTTTGTACACTTTTTGCTCGCAAGATTCACTGAATATGGCTTCTCAGAATACCAGTCTTCCATAACAATCTTCTCTTGGAGACCTATTTTTGAAACTTCACACCTTCAAAGAACGGTAATGTGCAAAGTTTTATGCTTTCACTCTCAATTTTTTTAATATTTTTCTTGTTTCTAAATTTTGATTCTTTTCATTTGACATGTTTACTTTCTGGGTATTGGTTGTTTTTCTCCAAAGCTTTTGCTTTTGGTGGTTTTAGTTTTCTGTTTTTGGACATGTGGGTTTGGTTTTTGTGTTGTTTGGGAGTTTTGTTTGGATCCATTTTGGTTACTGAAAATGCCCAGATTAATGTTGTTTTTTTTTTCATTAAGGTGAGCTGAAATTTGTATTTTGGCTCCAGTTTGATTTGGTTTTTAAACTGTTTTGGTAATTTTAAAGCCAGTTGTTTCTGTTAGATTTTATTTAACATGTATGGTATCTTACGGTTTTCCATCTGTTGGTGTAGAGCCCATTGTATAGAAGACTTTGGGGTCCAGTTGGGCAATTGGAATCTGTACATCCAGATGCAAATCCTAGAGGATACTATGCAGGTTAGCTCTCATTTCAACTTTTGATTATTTTACTGTTATGTATTTCACAGGAATTTGATTCATTTGGTGAAACAATTGCATATTTTTCATCCCAGAAGTCCAGCTAATAGAGGTTTAAGTTAAGTTGCTAACATTAGGATTTAGGAGCTGTGACAAACGATGAAAATGGGTCGGGTCTGGATGAGGCGGGTTTTTGCTTGCACAGATTTAACCTGACTCCTAAAAGAATGCACCCTACTCCGACTCCGACTCCGATCTAACATCGAAGTAATTATTTTGTGTATCCAACTCCCACCAAACACACATGTATTATAACCTTCATTCGTCCTGAAATTAATTTAATACTTTTACATTAGTATAATATTCATAAAATATTATTATCATTCTTCTATGAGAATATTTTAAATACATGGGCCCTTTTCTTCCTTGTAAAATTTACAGTGACTGCTAACAGTCTGATGTATACAATTGCAATGATATAAAATTTGAAACTTCGTAACATTATTAGCTGGTATTTGAATGACTAAGAATAGCACCAATTAAATAAAATTGGTGTGCCAGCATATTGGGAGAGATTGAAATGAAAATCATCCAAGACTGGCTCTGTCATATCCCTTAGAGTTAGCATTGTCTTTTAATTCTTCCCTGACATGTAAACCGATGTATATAAGTAACCAATAAAATTGGAGTTTTATTGAACATCATGTTGCTTTAGAAAGTGGTCGCTAGAACCCTAAGATTCTTTTGGGAATTATGATTGTTGCATAGGGCATGTATAAATTATAAAATCCATTTAGGAATGTTAATGAATCAAAGTTGTGCTGTAGGACAGGTCATTTTTATTTTTGTACAAGATGAGAGGTGACCTATTGTTGTAGTTCATTTATGTTCTGTTATGAAGGTTTATGTTCTATTTATGTGTCATGACTGATAGGTCTGAATTTTTTTTTATTGGGACCTTTTTTCTTGCTTAATTTAGTATCACATTGATAAATTTATTGGTATAGACATCTTGATGCAAAATATGGATTCTGATTTACTGTGAAAAAATTCTGGAACTTTTTTGTTAAATTCTTTTTTTTATTATTTTCTTTTGTTGTGTTTTTTTTCTTTTATTTCAGAGTGTTTTTTTTTTTCAAATTTTTATTGCCAGATGTCATTGTTTTAGTAAGCCTGATTTTCTTTATTTAAAGAGACAATTTGAGCTTTATTTTTTTCTTCTGATACTATTCCAGCTACAGTATTGCCAATACTTTTAACTATTGTATGGATATAATCTTAACTAATGCTTTTTGTCATACACATGCAAAAAGCAGGTCCTAGTGCTAAGACAAATGGGTACATTTTTGTCAGAATACAAGGAGGTTTCCATGAGATTAGGAGCTCGGTAAGGATGCTGTAATTGAATTTCCTAATTGCAGATGCAATTCTCTATTGTAATATTTTGTTCATCTTTTAGATTTGTGATGTGGTTGCGGTTGCTCGGTTTCTTAATGCCACTTTAGTTGTTCCAGAGATTCAACAAACAACAAGCAAGAAGGGAATCAGGTCACTTTACTTTTGTATAATTATTACAACTTTTAATTTTTATTTGGAGTTAGATCATGGCCATTTCATGTATCAGTAACTGTTCTTGTCAACTTATTTGAGATATATGTTCGATGCAGCTCGCAGTTCAAGAGTTTTGCATACCTCTATAATGAGGATCAATTCATCGCGGCTTTAGAAAAAGATGTCAATATTGTGAAAACCCTGCCTAAAAGTCTTAAATCAGCAAGGAGAAATAAGGAGATCCCAGTGTTTAGAGTGCCATACTCAGCTTCACCATATTATTATTTGCACAATGTGCTTCCTATTTTGATCAAGCATTCTGTAGTCGAACTAGTTGTCTCTGATGGTGGATGCTTGCAGGTGATGAGAGTTGTCAATTTTCAGTGGACCTGTGACTTGAATTTTAAACTTTTTCTTTTGACTTAGAACAACACCTTTTGAACTTTATTTGTCAAAATATTATAGTTAGACACATGTTTCCTATTGCTAAATAATGCGTATATTGTTATCTGGCACCAAATTACTTTTTCTTAGTTTGCATGTATGCTATATCAATTTATAAAATGAGTTACTCTTAGGGTAAAATGGATAAATAGATTAAGGGCATGTATTGTTGTGGTGCATCTTGTTGGATTTACATCTATCAACTTAATTATTAGTGTTTGGTGGTTCTCTAGTATGTCTGGTTAGAATTCTGGAGTTTGAATCTATGGGTACACGATTCTTAGGTGTTGCCTGTTTTTATGTCATGTGCTAAGTCCGTATCAAGATCATAATTCTCTTTCTACTGTCAGAAAAAAAAAATCTGAAAGTCGGCTAGTCAGATTTGTTATGTAGTGAAGAATGGCTAATCTTGCTTTGCCTGTCGGATGTTAGCAACCCACCTGCTCTGCTTAAACCACTCTTTATCTGAACATTTTAATGCTCATCCTTTTGTATGTCTGTTTGTTTAAAGTCTCTTGTGCCTCGGGTATCTCATGATGAAGAGTGAAGACTAATGAGAATCTTTTAGCCTTTAAGTTAAAATGCTCTTCATTCACATGGTTATTCGATCATATAAAAAATTTAATTTCTCTATGCTTTTATAATTGTTAATATTTTCTGTATCTGATCCAGGCCATTCTTCCGCTGCATCTTGAAGAGTATCAAAGACTCAGATGTAGGGTTTCTTTTCACGCTTTTAGGTTCCGACAAGATGTTCAGGAACTGGCAACTAATATTTTGCATAGGTAAATAACTGGCCATGGTTACAAATTGTAATATCATTTCCTTTCTAGCTTTTTGTTAATTTTGTTTTATCATTTAAGGTTACGGGCTCCTGGAAGGCCATTTATTGCCTTTGATCCTGGGATGACAAGAGATGCTTTAGCATATCATGGTTGTTCTGAACTCTTCCAGGTACCTGCTTTAAACTCTGAAAGCACCATTGGTACTTTTAATCACTGAATGTTTTATTTCAAATCTTGTCCATCATTTGACACATATCTTCTCTTTTGGAGCTTCCCCCAAGGATGTGCATGCTGAACTTATTCAGCATAGAAGATCATGGATGAGAAAACGTGGGATAATAAAGGGGCAGCTTTCTGTAAATTCTGCAAAGCAACGCCTCAAGGGTTCATGTCCATTGATGCCAGAAGAGGTAGAAATTATGAGTATAGTAATTTTGAATTGGTGAACTTCATTCATTTATGAAGCTTCAATTCTATGGTTTTTCTTAATGCAAATTTACCATCTGACATTAGAAGCTGCTTGCGTTCCATTCATGGTGGGGAGAGAAGAGATGTTATGATGCATAACTGGTAGAGCTTTTAGAAAGGCAGGATGAATTTCAAAGTGGATTTGTCATTGTGACTTGTTTAAAAATTGCCTGTAGTAATTTACCTGCACTTCATAAGTGGCCAATTAATGTAGCCATTCCATGGAGAAACAACTTGAGGTTGAAATAATTTTAGAAAATGTGAGATCTTGATTGAAATTGCTCGTCTTTCTGCAGGTTGGTATTCTTCTTCGTGCATATGGATACTCAAGGGACACTATCATATATGTCTCTGGAGGAGAAGTTTTTGGAGGCCAAAGGACATTGATCCCTCTTCATGGAATGTTTGAAAATGTTGTTGATAGGACTTCCCTCAGCACAGTTTGGGAACTCAGTAGAATTTATGGTCGTGAGGCTAACCTTGATGAAAATTACCCAAGGGCTCTGCCATCTGCTCAGGATGAAATGAAGCTTGATGCATGGAAAAACTCTGGTCCTCGTCCTCGTCCTCTTCCACCTCCTCCTGCCAGACCCAAGACTTATAATATTGAAGGCTGGTGGGGATGGGTGGCTGAAAGTGATAATGAGCCTGAAAGTACAGTTGTAGAGTTGAGGACTAATGCCCATAAATTACTATGGGAAGCAATAGACTATTTCATTTCTGTTGAAGCTGATGTTTTCATCCCTGGATTTGATCGTGATGGTAAGGGGCATCCAAATTTTGCCAGTCTGGTTATGGGACACAGATTGTATCAGTCAGCTGCGTCTAAAACATACAGGCCAGACAGGTAAACATCTTTGACTGCACATGTAAGCTTGAGTGTACACAATTAGTTTTTAAGTTGTAAGTTATTTTTCATAAAAGATAGTGATGGTGTTGCAGTCAATTTATTTGTTTAACTTCTATCAATGGTGAGGCTCATGTTCTACCTCAATTTGGAAGTCTTGCCATTTGCTAACTGAAAAATGTTCTCTCCTTTTTATTCTGTCTTTATGCTCTCAACATGTTCTTGATTGTATGCTCTTTCAACATAGGAAAGAAGTTGTCAGGCTTTTGGAACAAATCCGTGGCCACATATATCATGCAAACCATACCTGGTTAACGTCAATACGGAGGCATTTGCGGAGCTCTTTAATTGATGGACTGATTGAAGCCTCAAATAAGTCAAAGTCTTCATCGTTTCTTTCACATCCGGTCCCTGAATGTTCTTGCTTGAGGCCTGATTCTGGTGAAACATCAACTAATGCTTCAAGTCTGTCAGCACACTCACAAGTTCAGACAGCTCTTGGAGTCTTACATCGTTGCCCTGCTTGGATGGACGGTGAAAAAAGTTCAAGCTCAAAGGAAAAGGAAAATGAAGAGGATATTGATGAAAATGATCCATCATCATCTGGATTGTTTTTTCAGCATTCTGGAAGTCATGATGTTGGAGGTGAAGATATAAACCTCAAAGAAGAATCTCAATTCGAGGATCAAGAAGAAGATGGCGGTGATTGACAATGGGTGCTTATTTATTTTGTTCAAGTTCCTAAAATGCTGCGTCAGCATTGAGGTATCAACGTGAGTGTGTGTGTATATACATATAGTTTCTTCTGCTGATTCGGGGTAAGAAAGAATTTTTCGATTTCTGGTTCAAGATGGAGAAGCAAGGTACCTCACACCAGTTCTAAAACTCCATTGACTTACGCCTGTAATCAGATCCATCAGATGTGATATTAAGCTCTTTCACATGGTGATCTATCATATAATTCAAGCCTCGTAGGGAAAAGCTATAATGCCTCTCTTCATGTAAGCCTGCAACCAATTTTGACTATTCTAGCTTGTTCTTAAAAGGAAAAACATAAATTTTGTTTCAGAAAATTCTTAATTTTTCTTGGCATTTTTCATGCATGAATTTTATGTAACATGATGAAGAACAGAGTTAGATAGGTGTCCTTAATCCATTTCCCTTTTTAAGTGATGCAAATATGATATCAAATTGCTGAGTTCATTAGGTAGAAATATAATTATGATAATACTATTGACAGGGAAGCAAAGCTCTGAACCTTTTCCTTTTGTAATTGGGTAATAGTCCTGAAAGGGTGCCTACAGCATATTTCTGAGCCTAGAAAATCACGCTTCTAAGAATCTGAATGGACTACCCCTTTTGAAACAATTTTGTTTTTGAAGAGTATAAAAATGTCCATGATACAGCATTTTGGAATATTAGAAAATAAACATGAGAGCATTTGGCTCGATTATTTCATGATTCGTCAAGGAACATGTTTGAATCTTCCCTCCCCAAATCAAAAATTGAATAACCAATGCCCAATTGCTTGAAATGATTATTGGTGGACAGTGCTTTACAATTTGATCCAATGTCCCCAAAGATTTTCCAATTATTTTATAGACCGGACAATTTTAAATCTGAATAAAAAAATTTTCTAAACATCAATTTTATTATAAGTTGCTGTCATAGTGAAGTTTCCTTGGACTTACTTTCTCGGTGGTACCAATAAAAAGCTTCACAGATACACATGCTAAAATTCAGATTGGCAGGCTTAAAATCAGAGAATTGACGTTTCAGCAATCTTGGAAGCCAAGCATGGCGTTCTTTCAACACCTATGTCAAATACAGTTTCCAAGCAACTTCAATCAACCTGTAAAAACCCTGGAAGACCCCAGGGTCAGTAGAAGAAATCGTCAAAAAGGCCGAGTGATTTCAAGTTTTCAACCAGTAGTAAGAATCCTCTGACTTCAACAATCGAATTCCATGACAAAATTAGCTTGATCTCCAAGAAAATATTTGCTTTATAAACCCCCCAAACACGACATGGAACCAACCATATAGTATCAATCAACCAAGCAAAAACGCCACTTGAATCTTCTCTGTCCATTGATTCTCTTTGTTGGGTTTTCTTTTGTTTTGCTACAGAGTGGTTTTAAACAGGCTTAAACCAAGATGAGCAAAGACAAAAAGAGGAGTTCGCGTCTATCATTTTTAAGGTTGTTCCTGTTTCTAAGCCGCCATTCATCAAAAACTGCTGGCTTTGAGAGCATAGAGACTGCAGAACCACGTGGTCCTGAGGCTGCAATAGCTGCTGCAGCTAAACATTTTAGTCATAAAGTACACTTTGGGTAGTTCTCTAGCATTCATCACAACTCAAGTATGGCTCACGACTCTGGCAAGTCAGCAATCAAAAACAAGTCTTAAACTCTAAACAAGGCCTCTTGGCTGCAGTTTGGAGTTGGTTTGATATTCCCATATGTGGAATTTGGCAGTGTATTTGTCAAAAAAGAAAATGAAGAACATTTGCAACAGTGATTACTTTGGTGGATTAAAATTTGTATTTTATTTCAAGAAGCCACTGCATGAGTATATTTTCTTATTACTATTATTTTGTGCCAAATAAAAGCATTAGGGATCAATTAACAATCATATGTCTATAAATGTTTATTTCATTTTGGAAATGATTAAAAATAGAAAAATATTCTAGTAAACCATTGACTGCTCATTTGGGAAATTGAGAAATTTGTCCCTCGATGTAATTGCAATCTTTTAATAATGTTAACCTCAATATAATTTTTATGAAATACGTTATTAATTTTATCTTAATTTTAAAAATTGAACAACTTATTAATTTCATTTTTTTTTTCATTTTTAGCATAAAAGATTATTTTAACTTGTTTTCAATAATCAAATTTCAGTCCATACAAAATTAGCCTTCCTTGCCACCAAGAAATATTTGGTTTATAAACCCCAAAAGTTGCATGGAAGAGCATCAATCAGCCAAGCAAAAACACCATTTACCATTCAATTTCTTTTAGGTTAGTGCTTTGTCACATTTGTTTACACGAGAGTGTTAAAGACAGGGAGAGGGAGCTAGGGTGAATCACTTTTAAGATTGCTTTCTTGGTTCAAAGACTGCTACAATTTGACAGAACAAAGGCAGCAGCAAAACAAAGTGGCCCTGAGGCCACAACGGTTGCTGTAGCTGAGCATTTTTCTGCTGTTCAATAATGTACACTTTGGTTTGTTCTTCACCATCCTATCATATATGTAAGAGTTAATTATAAATTTGATAACTGAATTATATCAAAATGTACAAAATGATGCCTAAACTAAAAAAAGTTACAATTCACCCCTTAAACCTCAAAATCGTGTGCGTCGTTAGTCCATAAACTTCATGAACTTCATGCCGTTAAACCAATGAGCCTAGGTGGCAGTACCCAATTTCTGCTCTTCAACCATGGCCACGGTTCCACAACTAGATTCCTCCTTACAGCCACCATCATCCCCTCTTTCCTGTCTTTAGTTTTTCCTGTTTAATTTTGCTTCCTCCTAAATCACTTCGTTTTGTTTCGTTTCCTCACACTTATACAATCTTGAAATTGATGGGTTATTTATGTTTCCTTTGATTATTAGTTTGGTTTAGTGGAATTTTGGGTGAATTTGATTATTGTTAAGTTTTTTTGTTGAATCTTGTTTTATTCGATTATGGGTTGATTATTTTGTTCAATACTTTGGTTTCTTTCTATTGAATTTTGTGTGATTTTGATTGTAAGATTTATGTTTATTACAGTACGATGGGAGTGGAACTGTAGAAGTAAGAGGGAAGACGAGAACCGGAAAAGAAAATGACAAGATGAAAGAAAATTGCCGCCGAAGCTAGGTGGCTATCGTTGGCTGGGCATTTGAGTTCTGACCGATGTTTTTAATTGGATGCAGTAATTTTTTCAGTTCAGGTGAACCAATGTTTGATAGCCACTTGTCCGTTACATGATACTTAATAAATAGATAATAACATAACAAATTAAATCAGATTCGATTTTATTTTTTTAATAATATATAATATTATAAAATTTTAAATTTTGATTTTAATTTAAATTAATTTATTTTTTAAATTAATTTGATCTAAATTAAATTTTATTGATACAATTTGATTCATCAATTTTTAAATTTTAAATTTTTATATATTATTTTAATAAAATTTTAAATATTTTTAAATAAATTTATATACAAAATAATTATTTTTATTTTATAAAAATTTTAATATATATAAATTAATAAAAATATAATCTGATTCTATTTGATTTTTTTTATAATTTTTTACGTTCTAATATGAAATCTAATTCAAAATTTCATATGTATACCAAATATAATTTAAATCGAATAAAAAAATTAATCTAAATCAAACCAATTTTGTATCAATTTTAAATTTTTTCGATTTTCTTTTCCCTTTACTTCATATTATAGTTAGTCTTTTATATTTACGTGTAGCGTACACGTGGCATATTACAATTGGACATCTGCCACCGAAGCTCATTGGTTTAACTCCATGAAGTTTATGCGCTAACACCACACATGATTTCAAAGTTTAACGGGTGAATGGTAACTTTTCTAAGTTTAGGTATCAATTTTTACATTTTGATATAATTTAGGTATCAAATCTATAATTAATTTTTTTATAAAAATAAGACGTCAAGTAAAATATTCACGTATCATTTTTTATTTTTTTAATTAAATAAATTTTTTAAAAAATAATAAATAAAGATAATAAAATAAAATATTTTTGACTTGCACCAAGCATCTTTCTAATTATAGTAAAAATAACATATATGTGAACGCGTAAAGAATTGCATATATATATATATATAATATTCAAATAAATTATTAATTTTTATTAAAAATAAAACGAAAACTTTTTATAATGATAAAATAAAATGATTTATTTTTAATTTTTAATGAAATTAAAAGATTTATTTAAATATTAGATGCTTTTATCTATGTTACCATTTATAAAAAGAATCTCATAAGTTTTCTACGCATGACAACTATTTTTTTTTTTTTTTTTTGGGAATTTCAACTAATCCCAAGCCAAGCGGAGGTTACAACACTAATTTTATATATATATATATAATCATTTTACTTCGTAACAAATGGTCATTGTTAAATTTTTTATATAAAAACCATAATTTTCAAAAATTTTCATAAAAAAAATATTTAAAATGGTTGCCTTTTAAATTATCATGAACTCTATGGCAACTTTATTTTATTATAAATAAATGAGAAAAATTCTATCTTTCTCCGATCCCCCCAAGTGGCGCTCTTCTTAAACGTCACCAAATGGGTACACGATAGCACCGTTTACAATCAAAATTGATTTATTAAATTAAAAAAGAAACAAACGATTTTTATAGTATAAAAGAATCAAGAAAATTTTAAATATTTCCTTTTCCTCCCCTTTATTACGGAAAAAGAAAATCCTTTCTAAAGAATTTTTATAGATATTAAAAAAAAAAAAAAGAAAAATGGTGAAATCTGTGGGAACGGCTCAGCTTCATCAAGAAGAAGAAGACGAAGATGACTACGAAGATAAAGGTCTTTTCTTTTCTCTTTTTATTTTTTTAAAGAATTGGAGTAATTATTGTTTTTTATTTTTCATATCTTTGTTTTTGAAAAACTAGGGGAAGGAGTGAAAGTAGAGGGGAAAGGAAGTGAGCAAAAGACAAAAACGAATCGGTCTAAGCATTCTGAGACTGAGCAGCGTAGAAGAAGCAAGATTAATGAAAGGTCAAAATTTTAAAAATTTTATTTTTAAAGTAATTATTTTGCTTTTTTTTAAAAATATTTTTGGGTTTAATTTTTTATATTAGTTGTAATTGAATGCTACAATTGAAAATGTGCGGATGAATTAGTTATTAATGCGAAACATTCTTAGAAGCATTTTAATTTGTGGGATTGATTGCAGTAATAATATTGTTAATGAAATGAAACCTAGGAATGGCATTATCTAGCTCAAGTTTAGATTTTGTTGTGGCTAGACCTGATAATTTGTGTATGTGTGTCGAATCTGTTTTATGTCAAATTAGTGTAAAACATGAATATTGCCATGTCACAATTTGTGTCGACATGTAAAACATCAAACAGCCATTTTTTTTTTAATATTTGCTAAACTAATACAGTTTTTGTCAATTTTAAACAATGTTGCTTTCATATTTTTTGGTATCTTTTTCGTGCAGGGTCATCTTGTCATTTAAAAAAATTCTAGGTCTAGTTGCGGCTATGTATTCTGGTTTGGCTGCTTTACTTGTAGGCCATTGGTTTAGGTTGGATTGCTTAACTTATGTGAAGCCTTTTAGTCATTGCATTGTTAACTAAAGTTAGTGCAACAAACCATTTTCTTGGAGGCAGCTTGGTATTATCAGAAAATGGATGCTGAAAGCTTTTTTGAAGTGAGATATTTTAATGATAATATTGTGCCAATAATCGGTTCAAATTCTTTGAATATATTTGAAGCATTCTTACGAAAGCTTTGACCTAGTTTTCAAAAGTTGTTTGCGTTTTCCCAATTTGAGCTGTAGTTTGCTATCTAGATCATGTTTCAACTTAGGTGAACCTTGTAAATTGTTGCAATAGTTGAGACCTTCTATTTTCACTGATATTTGAGTCTATACCAGAGGAATAGAAACAGTTCTGCTTTCCTTGTTTGTTCAATCCTTTATCAAGAAATTTTTTGGTGACAAAGTTGGCCCACCAAATCATAGGAAAAATTATTTCCTTAAGTTGAAAAGGAAAAGAGTCTGAACTGGTATGAATTAGTCCAAGCTTTAGAAATTTGGTCAGAGATATCATGGCAAGTTTAATGAAGGAAAAAAGGTTTTCGAGAATGGAATTTGATAAATGAGGTTTTGAGTGAATGTATCTAGAGGTGACAATTCAGCAGGTTGGATCAGGTTTTGGTCATTTCTGGTTTTCTCTTTTCCATCGTTTTGGAGTTGATTTTTATCAAGTTTGTATATTAACCTTGAGTAAATTCATGTTGAGTTTTGGAAAGACATTTAGATTTCTGTCAACTTTTTGCCACATTTGCTTTGTTGGCCTCTAGCATTTGAGTTTGGGTTAGGCTGGCATTTTGGATTTACCAGCTCAGGCCCATTTTACATTGGGATTCTTTTGAGTTTCAGCTTGTTTATTCTTCAAGTAAAGTCTGGTTGGGTTTGGATGGTTTGAGCAGGTCCTGTTGGTTGGAAAAGCTTTTGCCATACATTACTGTTCCTCTTGTTTGTACAACTAGAAGCTAGATTGTTCTCACATTTGAAAGTGATTATTTTTTTGTGGCAGGTTTCAGACTTTGAGAGGTCTTATACCTCAAAACGATCAAAAGAGAGACAAAGCTTCTTTTCTATTAGAGGTCACCACTCATTGAGTTCTTTTCTGTACTACACTTATACATTACATATGTATATACATGCATGAATGTAATCATTTATATTTATTATTTGTTCCTCTTTAATAGATTTTGAATATCATCAACTTTATGTGTAGGTCATACAGTACATTCAGTTTTTACAGGAAAAGTTGCAAATGTATGAGGGATCATACCAAGGGTGGAGCCAGGAGCCAACAAAACTGATTCCATGGGTAAGCTTTCTTTGTTGATGTTTGGGCCTTTGTACATGCATGTCAATGTGGTTATTTTGCATAAATTTTTACTGCTTTTACATTGATGGGTTGATAATGTTAATGTTAATGTTTTAGTCTTTTAGGTAATGTTTGATATGGGGTGATCACTCCAAAAACCATAGTGATTAGATCACCATGTTTGGTAAGCACTTGGTGATTCTACGTGATAGTGATTTTGGATTACTGAGAGTGATCATATCTTTGTCTTGGAGGGTGGTCTAATTCTCATAAAAAAAAATGGGAAACTTTTGTCACTAAAGTAAAGTGATAGGTAAAATTAACAATAATTAATATTATGTCAATATTTTCAATTTAATATGTGAATTAAAAACTTGATTCCTTTTTAAATTATAATTATTTTATATTATAAATTTTTATATTTTCAAACTAATATTCATTGTAACAAGTTCAAAAAATTGTGTATTTTTTAAATTTTTTAATGTTTATATATAATATAATATTTTTGGTTTTCTTTTATTATGATTTTAATAGATTAGTTTTACTTTCTAATTTAATTTTTTTTTACATAATTTATATTATAAAAATTATTTTATTTAATAAATGAATATATTTAATAATTTAATTATATTTTATTATAAGATAAATAAAATATTACTATATTTTAAAAATATTATCTTTAAACAGTATTAAAATTATTAACCTGCGTAACTATTATAATTTGCATGGTTATTGTTCTTTTAAATAAAATAATATTTGATTTTTAGAAATATTAAACACAGTGATCTTTAATTCTTACAAATTAATGATTGTTAACCAAATCACAAGTGATAAGATCACCTTGGTGATTACATTATCATGGTAATTTTGAAAATGATGCCAAACACTATCTTAGATTAATGTTTATGATGCTGCGATATTGGAGATTTAAAATGCTAAATGCATGGGACAATTGTTGCCAAGCATATATCTGACAGTTGTTTTCAATAGACAATAGATGAATGCACCCTATGTTTAGGGCAGGAGGAAATTATACAGCAATAGGTGGATGTTATTTTTCTTTGTTTTGAAGTTTTTCTGTTCATAAGTTACAACTGGAACCTTCTATAAGTAATATATATTTTATCGCATTACTTTCCATAATTCAAGGAAGCTTACTAATTTTTGTTTTCCTTTTTTGAACAGAGAAATCATCATGGGCTTGCAGAAAGTTTTGTTGACCATTCTCAAGTTATGAAGAATGGATCTAGTTGTGAGAATGATGTTGTCATTCCATCAATGCTTGCAAATACTCAGAACTCAATTGAGTCTGACTTGGGTAATGCTGCAGTTTTTAAAGCACTGGATCATCCCCCTGGGTCAGCTACAATTATGGTTAACATGCAGACACAATCAAATACATTTGCTACTCATGGAAGTGGTAGCATCCCTACAAACTCCTTTCATGAGTCTGCTTCTGATTCTGAGAACTTGGTAAATAGACCCCAATTTCAGCCATGGCAAAGTAGAGAGTGTCTAACTGAGAATGCTGTTCCAAACAATTCAGTAAATGAAGGGGAGGACTTGACTATTAGAGGTGAATCAGTAGGCTTGTCAAGTGCCTACTCTCAAGGGTGAGTGCCTCTCATTTATTCCTTACAATTTTGTTGCTCTAATTGTCAGAATTTCTCTTGGGTAACATGTGTGTTACTTTTCTTGCTATTATAACTTTGTTTGACCTGCTATATCTCATGTGGAAACTGTGGCAATTAAAGATTCCCTGCTCTAAAACTCACTGAAAACTGATATCCACCTGACAATTGTAGTTTTATAGTATTGATGAATATGCTGGAGAGTGAATCATATAGGGTGCAGGGTTTCCCTAGAATACTTGCATTACTTTTCTTGCTATTATAACTTTGTTTGACCTGCTATATCTCATATGGAAACTGTGGCAATTGAAGATATCCCACTCTAAAACTCACTGAAAACTGATATCCATCTGACAATTGTAGTTTTACAGTATTGATGAATATGCTGGAGAGTGAATCATATAGGTTGCAGGGTTTCCCTAGAATGCTTGCATTACTTTTCATATGGAAATTGTGGCAATTGAAGATATCCCGCTCTAAAACTCACTGAAAACTGATATCCATCTGACAATTGTAGTTTTACAGTATTGATGAATATGCTGGAGAGTGAATCATATAGGTTGCAGGGTTTCCCTAGAATACTTGCATTACTTTTCTTGCTATTATAACTTTGTTTACCTGCTATATCTCATATGGAAACTGTGGCAATTGAAGATATCCCGCTCTAAAACTCACTGGAGAGTGAATCATATAGGGTGCAGGGTTTCCCTAGATGTTCAGGTTAACAGCTTGATCTTAGATACTCATTTATCCTTTGATATAATAGGCTGGTGTTTCAGAGGTTTTCTTATTGCCCATATTTAGTCAAAGTCTGCAAATTATGGTGACTAATCTTTGTTTATTGTTTTAAAGAAATTGTTATCATTAAAATTTTGACTTGTAATTTTTGGATTTTGACCCGACATGATGTACAAAAGATTCGGTATTCTGACAATTTATTTTGCAGATTTTGGGGTTAATGATGCTATCTGTTTAATCATGGCATTTCTATTACATGTCCTTTGGAGATAGGTTTTTATACATGCTATTAAGGAGATTGTTTTTGTGTTAAACAGGGTATTGAACTCTCTGACCCAAGCGCTGCAGTCTTCAGGTGTGGATATGTCACAGGTGAGCATCTCTGTGCAAATTGATGTTGGTAAACAAGGAGATAGCGGAGGTACTTCTATGGCATCCAGTTCTAAGGTTTAATTATGACCCTTTCCAGTTCTTAAGTAACCCTCTGCCGGAATAATTATTAACTAAGATAGTTGTTTTTCTATTCCTCTGTCTTCAATTACTTCTAACCCTTTTTGGCAAGGCTTAGAAGCCATGCATGAGAATGTAACCATTTGCTTCATTTGTCTTACTTAGTTTTCTATTTCATCTGTCATCTAGGAGAAAGAAATCCAATATACAAGCAATCAATTGATGTCACAAACTGGAGTTCATAACTACACAGAGGAGTCTGATCAGGCTTATAAGAGGCACAGAACAAGAAAAAGCTAGTGTATGATTCTAGTCACTTTCTTTTTCCCTTTTTGTTTCATCATTCAGTTCCGTCTTTGTCCGATTGAGGTGCTCATTTTTTCCATGCCATGGTCCACAGGTTTTTAGGTCTTGGACCAAATGTAAATTTTTATGCTTCTTGGTTTGCTGGGTTGCCTCTGCTAGGGGGAAAATTATTATATATTCTTTTATTTGTACTTGTTTGAGACAGAGGATTCCATGCATATGTGAGAAGCTGCTTTATTATTATTGCTATTATGATTTTAATCGCAGTATCTTCCATTTCCCATGTGAAAGCTTTTGGCAACATTTTCTTGTCCATTAAGTATTCTGGATTGTACAAGGGAACAAAGTCTTCCAAATTATCCTGCTGTTCTGTCTTGAGTTAGACAAATATTGTTTGGATGAGCTGGAAAATAGATTTCCTGAGCTTGGACACCAGAAGAAATGGTGGGGCTATGGGGCTGCCAATGCCAACTTTGTAAAAACCATTATCCTTAATTACCACAAGGACAATTTTGGCTCATTTATCAAGCAAATTATCTTGAATTGAAGCATTTTTTTTTTTCAAATAGAAAGCGTTTTTGAATTTTGTCTAATACATTTTTTCTTCGTTTTGATCCAAGCAAGTTTATTTATATAAAATTTTATGAATTTATAAAAACTTAGTTTCTTATAATCTCTCAGCAAATTTGACTTCTCTTTTTTGTCATTTGAACTACTTATTTTTTTTCTTGGGTTGTGGATGTTCATTAAAGCTTTGAAACTTTTTAAAAGTAGACCACTTCTTTTCTGGCATGGTTTATGTGTTTGTGTGGTGAGAGAAAGTTACTTTGAGGAGCCAGAACTGCCGCACATCCTTCCTAAGTGGTGCAATTCTTACTAGCTATCCGACTAAAATTGCTACCCTCCTTAGTGGAAAAAGTGGGTGATTTCTTGGATCAACAAATTATATTGGATCAAATGTCAACTTCTCTCTTGGATCACTCACTTCCTCTATATCCTCAATTCACACCCAATTTCTTATTTGCTTCTCCCTCTCTCTGTCTCAACCAACTAAGAGTCTTATTTGTTTATGTTGAAAGGAGGCTCTGGGGGAATTGAATGATGGTTTTGAATTAAAAAAAAAATGGGATTTCTTGGGGTATGAGTACTTAGTGGGTAATCATTATGGAACTATGGGGCATATTTTTTATTTACATCATGGAAGATTTTTGGATTAGAGAAAATCCATATATAATTATGTTTTAGGCAACTAAACAATAATGGAGAGACATGAGTTTGAGTTGACTCATAACAAACACAAATTGGTGTTCAATTATTTAAACAACGAGTCAATGACATGGTTTACTCATAACAACTCTTGAAATGGCATGAGTATACTTTAGTTCAATTTTCGAATTATTGGGTACACTTTTTGTTAATTTTTTTTTACTTAGATCTTACTATAATTGAGGTTTGTACATCTATTTAACTAAATAAAACATATATAATCATACATTGACTATTACCAATGGAAACAACTAATGATGGAAAGACATCAACAATTATTTCATTTGATAATGAAATGTTCAAATTTTAATTTCAATAATTAAAATTCAATTTTTAACAATTTTGTGCGAAAAAAAAAGACATGATTTGGATCGACTACTAACAAGTTTGAATTGGCGAATGAAACAATAGAAAATACTTACGGTATAATTCAACAGATGTTATAAAGAAATGGACCTTTCCTCTCTTTTTGCCGAACCCCCCAAGAGCTATCACTCCTTTATACGTTCCACCAAAGATGTTTCTTTAGAAAGAAGGAAAGCTTACTAAAAAAACAAAACCTTCTGTTTATTCCTTGTAAGCACATGAAATTTTGGTATGCATTTGGTACGCATTCATGTCCATCATTTCAGATGGTCTAGAAAATCTTTAAAAAAAGATATTGGAAATGATACATATTCTGAATTTTCCCATCTTAAGTCTGCAAATTGCAATGGGTAATTTCCTTTTGTTTTTTTCTTTCACTCTATACATGAATGTGAAATCCAGGCTCAAGGCCTAAATTGTCCCCAAAAGCTAATTGTGTGAGCAAAAGTAGGCAATGTCTGATAAATATGCATAAGTACAGAGTGTAATTGAAGATAATCATCTAATCTGCATGATTCGGATCACGTACTTCTCAAAGGTTCATCTAACAGTTGTAGACATTCATGTGGATTAGAATAAAAATAATCTTCTTCTTTTGGCCTATCTGGAATGGCGATTCGTTTCTTAGGGCTCCCCATTCTACCTGCATGAACTTCCTTCACGGTCGAGGAGAACTCATCCCAGCTTAAGGATCCATTCTGGTATTGATCTATTAAAGTAACCAGAAGCTTTCTGTCTAGTAAGATAGTTTTCTTGAATCCCAAGAATCTGGCATGTGTTAAAAGAAAATACCAAGATAAAGGAGATCAATTCAACATGCCAATTGCTAAAATATGAGCAAGCAGATAAATTTAATGCTCTCAGAAGTATCTTGCTTCACATTTTTAATCAAATTGAGTATATGGAGAAAGATTATGATTTATGAATAAAGCTAAGAAAAGAATGATAAGAACAATATTAGGCTATGAGCATGGTTATGTCACCTCCGATGGCCTTCAACAACTTTGGCCATGTTTCCGTCATATGTAGGAACAAATATATCACTTTCTAAGGAGACTAGATAATCCAATGCTGCCATTTGGGATGAGTGGTTTTGGAACAATTTCAAGTCTGATGGAACTAGCAGAGTCTCCTTTCTAACCTGTTTTGTAAAGAAAAGCAAATTGTTAGAGCACACATAAATATGTAGATGTCAAAAGGTTGCTGCTACATTTTACCGACCAAATTAGGAAAAGCTTCTGCCAACGGAGCCATCCTTCTCTCACCACCATAAATTTCTCCAGCAGCGATGTAAAGTTGAACATTCCGGTCAATACCTAATCCTTTTAACACTAGAGCAGTTTCTTCAGGTGTCAAAGGGCACAAACCTTCTTTCCTTTTCATTTCTGAATTTATAACTTTCTCCTTCCACCAGGGATAAGCATACCTAATAATATTTTATTTTCATAATTATTGAAAGGATGACATAGTGACAACAAAAATTAGTTTTTCCCAAATTAATACTTATTGAAGCAACAAACACGCTTACCTCATTCTTGCAAGTTCTTCCTCTTCCAGACTGTTGCAACCATGAGTGCAGCCAGAAAAAGCCAACATGTCCATTTCATATCTAAGATGAAGAACAAGAAAAGGGCCTTTTTCCCTTAAAATCTTTACAATCCTTCTACCCAATTCCTCTATCTGTGAAGTAAATCTTAGTGCATTGAAATTTACATGGCAGCGCAACTTCTGAATCTCAAGGGGTAGTTCATTATTAGCAAGCCGAGCATCGGTTTTATTCAACTGTACAACTTTGTGCTTTTGCACTAGAGGAAGAATCTGCCAGCAAATAGTCCAGAAATTAGATGCATTAGAACAAATACAGAAATACAGAAACGAAACAGCGTATTCCAGCTTTAATCTATAAGAACCAACCTGATGAAAATAATAAGAAATATCAGACCAACTAATGGGCTGCATAGAGAGGAACATTCCTTTATCAACTCTTTGCTGAACTCGAGGAGGCAGTTCCTTCAATATGCGAACCTCATCTCTCAAAGAAGTAATGAAGTGATCAACATCAAAAATGTCCTGAAACTCACTGTTCATGAACAATCAATTAGAGGACCATTTTGAATTACAGGGGACAATTCTAATAATTTTAACTGCCCAAAAGAAGATTAAAAGTTAGTACGTACCTGGGATCATTCCAGAATGAGGTTTTATCTAGTTCTGGGACAATAAGCGTGATATTTAAGTATCTGGCGATTGCAATCATGTCACAAATCTGCAAAACAGAAGCCAGAAATGACAAGGAAAGTGAGAAAATGAACAGGAAAGTCATGAAAAAAACAGAAATAAAGAGTGAGAAAAAATAGCAGAAAACTCACTGCCGCTCGCATTTGGTTAAGTCCTCCATTACAGGAAACCATAAGATAGCCATTATTCTTATATAACCCTGCAATAAAAAAAAAAAAACGTAAATCAGAACGGTAATCATAGACAACTTAATTTGGGATTACTTGCTTTTCATCAAAGGGAGAAAGCTCCATAAATGCAAAAAAAAAAAAAGTTTAATGGCTGATAAGCTAAGCTAATGAATCACAGCTAAAGTAAAAAAGGGGAAAAAAGATGATAAAAAGAAAATTATTTGTGAAGGACTTAAACGCCTCTTTGACAGACAATTGCCTGCTCAGGACAAAGAGAATCTTACAAAAAAAAAAAAAAAAAAACCAAATACGGAACAGATGAAAATTATTGAAATCAATTATGACATATTTAAGAAATTGCAAATTAAAATCATATGAAATGGGAATGGGATTTCTTCATTTACATCAATACCTTAAAAACATTAGAAATTAACTTTGAAACAAGAAACTTAAGTACTTACTTTTTGGTGGATGAATAACTTTTGGTGGAGAATAAGACAATTCAGCAACCGGAGGCAACTCAGAATGACTGAAACAAGAAGGCCAACCTTTCAACAATCTTGGACCAAACATCTCTCCTAATGTCATCAACTGAGCAAAACAAGTCCATAACAAAATTGTAGTTATTGCCCTGATCATCCACAGCTTCATTCTAGACCTTGAAACCATTGAATTCTTTAACTTCTCCACTTTCCCTTCTCCAAAAATCTTTATTTTCATTTCCCACTGTTTCCTGTAATCACACTTTCCACTTGTCTCTTCTACTTTACACATTGTAACTTTTACCATTCCCCCTTCTTTTCACCTCAATCTCAACTCCACAACAACAACAACTCAGTTAAAGTTCCCCCACTTGATCCAAAGTTTAAGCTTTGAGTCAATGTAATGGAAAAACTCAGAAATTTGGGTTATTCCACCAGCACAAACAGGCAAAAAAAAGTTATATTTTTTCCCACAAAAGATAAGGTGATTCCTGAAAACTTTAATTAACTTAATCACCAGCTCCTTGAAACTCTAAACTTCCCTTGATTACCAAAACTTTTGAATTAAAAAAAAAAAAAATCAAAGCCTCAGCTCCATAGAAACACCTAAATTGTTTGTCACCTAGAAACAACAACAGCTCCACCAAGCTTACCAAAACCAAAACTAAAGCCAAAAAACAAAAAAAAAACCCAGATTAAAAAATTCACTTTTGGGCTGAAACCTTATAAACTCTCCACGTACATTATCAAAATAAGCATAACCCAGAATTTATATGATTCGGTTTCAACTAAATCTCCACTAACTCTTCCCAAAATTAGTCTTTTGAAATGACCAAAAAGTGTGTTTCCTTAGCTTATAAGATTTGGAAAGCTCAAATGAGGTTTTTTTTTCCCCCGTGAGGTTTCCGGACCAGATCCCGGCGAGGTGGTCGCCGGTGAACTGTTCATAAAGAAACCAAAGTTGTGAGTTAGAGAGATAGAGACAGAAGAGACAGAGACAGAGACAGAGACAGACAAGCTGAGGCTTGAGTTGTGATTTAATAGTAGCAATGAGAAAAGTTAATGCCTGTAATCAAGGGGTTAATCTGTTGGATATTTTTACTGTTTAGAGGTTGGAGGACGTGATGGTTAAAAACTCTAACGAGCTCCTATTTGCATCGATTTTTTTTGTACTCAATTTTTTTATTATTAAAATACTTCAAATAAAACTTCTCGGGTGCTTCTATTTGCACACCGATTTTACTGTCAAATTTTTACTATTATTTTTAAATAAAATTATAAAAAATTTTCATTTTTATTTCGACTTTTAAAATTTTTAAATATCTATTTTCAATAAATTATATAATAAAATTTTAAAGAATTTGAATTTATTAAATTAAAAAAAGTTATATTTACGGTTCACGGAAAATTTCGGTTGAAAAAAAATCATATCCTGAATAACTTTTATATCATTGCAAAGAAAAACATGATTTGTTTTAAATAATTATAAATTCATTTAAAAATTGATAAACAAAAATTAAGCATTCAGGTCTTTAGAATTTTTTTTAATTTCAATGATTTGGGATAGAAACTTTTAAAAGTTTCTAGAAATACAAATTTAGAGACTTAAAAGCTTCCCAATTTACAAATTCAAAGATTTTTAAAAATTTTTAAATTTATAAATCCAAAAATTTTTAAATTTATGAATTTAGAAACTTAAAAGTGAGAATGGATTTGAGAAAGGATAATTAAATAATTTTGTTTAGAAAGAATTTTGAAAAAAAAAGAATATGAAAAGAAAAAATGGAGTGCAAATAGAAGTTCCCAATTATTTAATTAATTTTTGACAAACTATCCTTTAATCCCACTTATTATTGTTTATAGTGCATGCAAAAATGCATATCTAGAAAGTTAAAAAAACTTTTTTGGGAAGATTTTAAATTTTATGAAAATGCAAATTTAAAAACTTGAAAACTTCAATTCTCAATCTCCAATCCACAAATTCTAAAGTTTTTTTTTATATTTTCGAAAGTTTTAAAAGTTTTCGAATATTCAAGAGCTTTTAGTTATTTTCAAATATTCAAATTTCAAAACTTATAAAAGCATCAAAATCGCATTTTCATAAATAATGATTTTATTAAAAAACGCATTACAAATCGTAAACCCATTTAATCATTCAAACATTATAAATAAATTATTTTTATATCGGAATTAATGAGTCAAAACTATTAATTTCGTTTGAAAATTAGCAATTTCAAGCTTTGATTGGAGTGAAAATTGAAGGATAGGAGAAAGGAAATGTTGAAGAAAAAGAATTTAGGGATTTGGGATATAAATGAGGGATTGAGGATAGCAGAGGAATTGTAATTTTAGGAGTTTGAGGTATAAAGAGTAGAAATAAATTTAGAGGGGTTTGAATTTGAGATATTATTAGTAATGCAGTATGTAAAGTTAAATTTTGAGTGCAAATTGAAGCATCCAAAATTCTATCTTAAGAGAAGAGATCAAATTATTTTGTGTAAAATTAAAAAAAATTTATATATTTTTTAACCATTAATTTTTAATAGATTTAAGAGATAAGATAAATAAAAAATAAAAAAATGGTTTAATCTAATCTCTTGAATTTATTAAAATCAATTTTTAAAAATGTGTAATTTTTTTTTAATTTTTATAATATATAAGTTGGTCCATCCTCTATATATAAATATATATTTACGTTTTGAATTTTACTATTAGCTTTGGACAATTGTTTTTGTTGACAAATAAATAATACTAGTAATAAATTTTCATACAAATTCTATATTATTAATTAATAAAGTGACTAATTGAATTTAATATTACTTAATCAAGTGACACCCGATTAATTGATAAATTAACTCAAAACTCAAATCAAAATTATAATAATAACAAGAAGTCAAGGGTAATTAGGTTTTTCTAATTAAAACAAAATAAAATCCTTTTTTTTTTTCTTTATCAATAAATTTGTCTATTCACTTGCAATTAAAGCAAAACTTATTCACTTACCTTAACTTTTTTTTTTATAAACATATTTTTTATTTTATTTTTCACCTACATAGTGGGTGTGCCAGATTTAATATACACTATCTAACGTAAAAAAATACATTTTCCTTTTCATTTAAAAAAAAAAAAAGATAGATAGGTAGTTTCAAAATTGGGATGTATATAACATATATACACACTTCCTCGAGGTTTTAAAAATATAACAATACATACAAAGGTGGCAAAATACAATCAAATTCTCAAAATCGTCCAAATCAACCAAATTTCAATTGATTGAAAATAGTCATAATTAAAAATTAAAAACATTTAAAATTGAAAAATTAAACCCAAGTTAATTTGAACTGAATGTGATATGAACTTGAAATAGCTCTGGCCTAAATCGATTAAATTCGAAGCGATAACAATTTGAAGTCGAAATCAATTCGTTTTGAAATTCATAATAACTACAAAAATCAATCTGTAATTAATTAAAAATTAATCAAATTTAAATTAATTTAAATTCAAAATAACCTGAACCCATAATAATTAAACTCGAAACAATTTGATTTTAAAATGATTGAAACTCAAAATAATTTAAATTCGGAATAATTCAATTTTTTTTTTTGATGAATCCTATTAAACAAATTGGTAGATCTATATGCATATCTTGCATGTAGGATTTTTTTCCTCCGAAACTTTTTTTTTTTCTATCAAATACTTTGAGAGGGATGAGGCAATTTGAACTCTAATAATATCGTGTAATAATGTTTTTGGATTATTAGTGAATTATACTAACTACATCTTAAATGGTTTTTTACTTAGAGGGATAGTGAGTCCCTGAAAAGGTTAATATCTTAGCATATTTTGATATAGTTCTTACCAATATATATAAAAAGAATAAATTTACACAGTGTGAAATTTATAAAAAAATATACAAATTTTTTTAATTCTTGATTTTAATAAATCTAAGGGATGAAAGAGATAAATAAAAATAATAAAAAATAATTTAATTTCATCCCTTATATTTATTGAAATTAATGATTAAAAATATATATAAAATTAAAAAAATTTTACACTGTATAAATAAATCTCTCCTCATATATATATATTAGATAATATTTATTAACTTTGTTTTTTATTAATAGTCTTAATTAATTTAACTTTTGTGATACGAATTTTCACTTTATTTTTATTTGAATTTACTACCAATTAAGTTTTTTTTTTTTTTAAATATCATTCAAAACTTTGACATAAAATAAAACAAAATAAAAAGACTATTTATGATCCAGTATTGATTGATTTACTTAATATTTATTGGTTTATTCTGATATATATATAAATATATATATATATATATATATATAGTTGTGTCAAGCCTAATCCTATTAATTTCTTAGTCAAATTGGTGTATGAAAATAAAATCTCAATCCAATCAAGTCAAAATATCAGATAAAAGATTTTTCAAATTGAATTGATTTTGAATAGTTTACCATGTCAAATTCCACCCTTAATTATTCCTAAAGTTTATATGTGCTAGGTTTCTGTGTTTTAGCTAGATTTCTCATTTCTCTTTTTATTCTAAAGGTATACCATGGAATAACATTGGGAATCTTTACCAAATTTAACTTTTAATAATACTAATAAATAAGGAAAAGTAATAGCTGTTTAGGAACTTTTGGAAATGGGCGTAGCTATGCCCCCAAGGACTGGGTGACTTGATCAATGTAATAACTAAAATTAATGTAATTCCTTAAAAAGGTAAGTTCAAAATGTACGATAAAACATTTGAGATTTAATCTTATTAGTTTATATAATTATTTTTAATGGTTGGTACGTTATAATAATTTTTTATTCTCAATTTATGATTTATTGAAAAAAAAATGTAGCTAAAAATATAATTAATTAGTAGTATAGAGCCTTTAAAAAAATTGGTCAAATCACTAAAAATTAAACATCATAAGTGACCCCAACTACAAGAATTATTCTTTTCAATGTTGTTTTTATTCTTTGTGATATAATAGGAGAATCATAAATCATACTTGATTAAATATTGCATTCTGTTAATTATTCAAACTTAGGAATTATTGAAGAAGAATGCTTGGCCGCCTAGGCTGATGTTAGTCTAATGGGACAAAATCTACCAAAACATGAAAAAGAAAGAGAGAATTTACATAAAAAATAAAATACGTATGCATATATAACTATATTGCATTAATTTTTTTTATGTAAAATTCAAAGAAAATAAATTATTTCATTATATAAGTCATAGAAAATAATCATATTATACAAGTCATACATTCAAAATTAACGAGTGATTTATTAATAAAACACGAATCTAAAATAATTTATCATTCAAAGCAGATCGATAAAATTATTTATTGAGAGAACTCTTCCTCGATTATATGTATGAATATATATATATATATGTTTATATGTAAATATATTGTTCTATATTGTCCTTTCCGTTGCATATTGAACATGTGATGTGATAAATGATTATGCTATGAATTTTTTGCAAACAAATTTTGGGCCGCAAACACCCAATCCTATTACATATTATGTACAAAAATAATGGATTTTGGAGTTTTATGCAATTTGATAGTTATCTTCGGAGTTTTGAGAAGAGAAAAACAAAGGAAAATTCTATCTTTTTTAATTTTAAAATGAAATAAAATATTTTGGACCTTAACATCTCATTTTCTTCATTATATTATTGTAAGGCATATTGGCAACTCAAATTTATAAACAAAAAAATTCTTTTATTTTTGGATAATTCAACCGCTCTTGTCAGAGGATCAAGATCAAGCAAACTAAGTTGCTTAATCACTGAAATTTTTATTATTAGATTATTTGCACCATTAAAGAAATTTAAAATTTTCGTTAACAAGGTTAATGGATTATTATTAATTAATTAATTAAAATTTAAAAAAATAATAAATTAATATAATAAAAAATTATATGATAATCTTTTAATCTCACTTATAAAATTTAAAAAATTTATTGATAATGTATGAAATAATAATTTTTTAACAAAATAAATAACATAAAGC